ACATTTTAAAACATGATGGGGATGATTTGGTGCACTAAACATTCATCTAACCAGAAGTTTAGCTATCATTCTTCTCTTGTCTGTGGGAAAAACAATGGACCTTGATTAATAGTTGACATCACTTGACCAGAAATTAAAGAATTAAAGCTTGAGTTTCACTAAGTTTGTATTCGTAGATAATTCAGGGTTCTCACTAAGGCGAGTCCATGAGTATTGGCCGGACTCATCAAAATCTGTCTGGACTCACCATTTTCAAAACTGATGAGTCAAAAGATGTATCAAAATTGAAATATTTTATATAAACTGAATACACATATCATCATTTTATAGCAAAAGTTTAAAAGTAATCTGAATTCAATGTCATTTCATTGCTCTATTAGGTCATGGAGACTAAAATGATAAATCATATTGCAATAAAATATCTTCTTCTTACTGTTGGACTCACCATGGCCAAAAATGACGAGTCCCTGGACTCGCCTTCAAAAATCCTTAGTGAGAACCCTGAGATATGGTAGAGTCTAAGTAATACATATAATGCTGTGTAAAACAAAAGGATTGTTATCTGTGATTAAAATAGCAGCATATTTGTAAGAGTGGGTGTTAAGATTTTTTACAATTATAATATTAGTAAGAATTTTCTTTTCCTACACCTGATGCACCTAGTAAGACTCATTAGACAGTAATTAATATTTTGACTGTTTAGTGGTGTTAAATGAGTTTGTACTCCATGGCTTTTAAAGTTTAAAATTTTGTTATTGTTACAATAAGCAGCATTGATGTTCAACTTTAAGTAACTAAAAGGTTGAGCATAATTGTATCCAGCTTTGTGACTTGGTGTTGTAAGGTACCCAGTAACTGTCTCATTGATGTTCTCTATACACATCTCAATTAATTATACCCTTGCTTTAAAAATGCGGGGGTATACTGATTTACCTCTGTCTGTCCGTCCGTCGTCCGTCCATCCGTCCCATGAATATTTTTCGTCTCATCTTTCTCAGGAACTACATCATAAGGATTTCTGAAGTTTGGTTTCAGGGTTTATATAAGTCAGCTATACCGTGTGATGCGTTTTCAGATTCATCACTCAACAACTTCCTGTTTACCGAACACTTACATATTTTTACACTATTAAAATTATCCAGTTGCGGCGGGGGTATCATCAGTGAGCAGTAGCTCGTAGTTTCACTTGTTGAAATTGAATGGGGCAAATGTTGGCTGAGTGGTCTAAGTAATATTAGAATATAGCAAAGTACTCTCGACCAATGAAATTGTAGGATTGGATGCCTCTTAATTGTGAAGAATGAATGTAAATCATGTTCTTAGTAAGGGATTATCCTATTATTTGGGTCTATTTACAGTTCAAAACAAAGAGTTTCTATAAATGAGTTACAACTGCCCTGAAGCACATTTATCAGATTGAAAGAATTTATCACAGAGTGATTGAAACTGACTAAAAGTTGAATTGTGAAACAAACAAAAATCTCAAAATAAGTTGAAGTTCACTGGTGCAGTAAAATTGGTACCGTGAATGTTATTATGAAAATATTAATAACTTCAAATTACCATAAAATTAAACAATACCAAAGCAATGCAAAAAAAAAGGAAAAAAATCTTTCAGATAAAAAATAACCTAAATCTTTAGCTTTCCAAAACTTTGATTACTAACGCTCGTACTTATTCATGAAGAAAGGGATTATCATTCTCTTACATATACGAAGGTTGATTTTTTTTTTTTCTGTGGTTCCTCCACAACCAATCAATCAGTGTGACATATCTAATTCCTTTTTGTTTCCAATTTTAACTTACATTGGTCCCCATCATGTTGGATTTAAATTGGAGAATATAAAAGGCTGCATTTATAATTAGATTATAGAATGAAGTACATTTTGTGGTTATTAGGTGATGTAAATTCTACAAATATAAAACAGTGTTTTGATACATCATTGCTGATTACATTTTTAAGCATTTGAAAAAAAGTTTTCAGAAAATGTAAATATAAGACAAGCCATGATGATCATGATGATACAGTTTGACTCTGGTGCTATATTATATTTCTAGGCATGTACAAGTCAAATAGTCTAGATTTTACTGTATAAACCATGGAAAGTGTATATATTTTAAACCAAAAGTGCAATATTTAATTATTAAAGTACATACACATGTAGGTTAAAATTTTGATTCCGAAAACCAGAGAATACATTTTGATTTTAGACAATTTGGCCCTAAATCTTAGCTTCTCCTAACTCAGGATTATGGTCTTTATATCACATTGTTTTCATTTGGCATTGTTTGTGGTTAAACAGATTTTAGAATGACTTAAGCTAGCTTGCATAGCTTTTATTCAATGAATGCTGCTTTCTGAACACATTTTTTATGTGGCAATGATTTCTTCACACATACAATGACATAGTGAAGTCTTTATAGATATATTTGGTAAATAATACAAATGCTACATCTACAGAACAAGTTTTCATTCTCAATGATAGTTTTTATTCAGCCTTAAATGTTAAATACATTTGTACTGTTTAATCTTTGCTAATTACCAGAAATCAAATAATTATTATGAATTTTATATTCCCAGTAAAATCTTATTTATTGAGTAGTTCATTGTTTGGTAGATAGACAGATCTTTCAAATTCATCAATAAAAATCACAAGACTGAGTCCAACTCTCTCTAGTATTTTCAAGATTTCCTCTTTATTTTTCTGTCATTATATCTATGGTAAAATATGTACACAGGCTTAACAAATTGGACGATGGGTTACTTTATGATGCTTATGTTTGTAATAAAATTTTAGATGCAGGAAACATTAATTGTTGGTATTCATCTATGAGATATGTCCTTCAATCACTTGATATACAAAATTTGAATACAAAGCTCAATAGATTAATTAAATTTGTAAAATGTAAACTTTGTAACAGTTTTAAAACATTTTGGGGGGTCAAAAGATCTGATACCTTATCACAAGGTAATAGTAAATTAGAAAATTATTTCAACCTCAAGACTGACTTCGTAAAGGAGGCTTATTTATCAATTAAAGATTTTAATATAAGAAGAGCTATATGTAAATTGAGAATAAGTGCACATGATCTTAAAATTGAGAAAGATAGGTATAGTAAAAAATACATAGAGAGAAGTCAGCGTCTATGTCATCACTGCCTATCACATGGATCAAATTCTATTGAAGATGAGACCCATTTCACAGTAAGTTGTCCTTTATATAACGAACAGAGAAAATTATTATGGGATAAAGTAAACAGTTTTTGTAATAATTTTAAAGAATTACCCAAGGATAAAAAATATTTCTGGCTGTTCACAAATGAGCATTTACCAACTCTTATGTGCCTAGGCAATTATATAATTAAGTGTTTAGAAATAAGATCCAGGTGGATACAAAATATATAAAATTATTATGCAATTATTGTTAATGTTATGTAAGACACATGATGTGTTAGGCTCTGATCCTGTCCAATATATGATAGTATTATATTAGGATATAGTTTTTCTTTTTTCCAATCATATTGTGCTTAATATTGTTGTAAATGATGCCCTTTATGGGTTCTTGATTAGATTAATAAAATTCTTATCTTATCTAGTATCAACCATTCTGTAGGGGCATCTGTCAGCCACATCCTTGTCTTATCATTATAATGAAAACCAGATTGTCTGTTTAGCATGTGAGACTGTGAGAGAACAATGTCTACAGATCATTAGTGAATGTGTGTAATCAATACTTATATATTGATGTTTGTTTTGTCAAGTGCTATATCAAGATGTGTTCTATAGATCTTTTATAAAATGTATGTAATCAAGGACAATATGAGGGGGTGGATAAAATCAGCTAAAAATTCGCTATAATTAATTATATAAACTTAGAATCTGGAAATTGTTAATATATATTGTATATAAGACATTATTCGCTAGCTTCCAATAGAGCATGACATACACTAGCTAGCTAGCTGAGCTATATTGTACAATATTATATTGGTTAAGCTAGCTTCCAATAGAGCATTACATACATGTACACTAGCTAGCTAGCTGAGCTATATTGTACAATATATATAGCAAAGATCTAGTCATTTTCAACTTAAAGTGTTGGAGGTTTAAGTTTTTTTTATAGTGTGAAAGATGCAAAATGAATATACTTAATTATAACAAAAATGAATTGAGTTTAAGTAAACATCAAAGAAACAACACAAGGTATACAAAATAAACATGTATAAAGCAAGTTCACCTGATCTTTACTTTGAATGAGGACTTAAAACTGTTCGTATTGAAGGGGGTCATTTATTCATCATTTACAATTCACACACACTTAATATTTGGTTCCAAGATTTTTCAGTTCTCTTTACCATACATATTATATGATTTTAAGACTTTTTTGTCTAATATTTGATCACACAAGTCATAATATTATTCACTACTCAATGGGATTGATTGATTGTTGGTTGCTTAATGTCCAGTGGCAAATATTTCATGCATGTTCAGGATGATCATGACTCAATGAGAGGAATCACGTATAAATACAAACTTCTATTTTCCCAGTATGTTTTATTACAGAGAACTTATTTAAAAATTGTTATTGGTCCCTCCATCATCTTGAAGATACATATACATGTAATGTAGACTAATAAATAGGATATCATATAGTGTAATCAAAACTAACAATCTGCCATACTTCACTAATTAGTTGATACTATATAATTATTATCATACTTCACAAAAGTACATTAATCAATGTTTGACCTTCATTACTCTTTGAAAGACCTTGAAATGACAACATTGGGTAAGCTCTGCAACTTGTATTTTATTTAGATAATTTTCAGTGACAGATCCACAATATTGTCGTCCCTTATGTCGCTGTAACAAGCACACAAACACATGGTTATACTGTATAAATGCTATTGAAATGTTCTGTAAAGAAGACATTTGTATGATCAAAACTTGTTATAAGTTATAGGTAACTTTCAGCTGTAAGATTATGTTTTTTTTTTTTCAGGAGAAAATTATGATAGGATCCAGGAGAGCCCTCCAGGAAAGGACTTGCCTTCTAACCAGACTGGTGAAAAGTCTGGTGGGCAGGAAGGAGGATCAACACCAAACTCTCCAGAAAACAAAGGCCCGGCAAAGCCACTTAGTACGGCGTGGGAAACAGCAATAGGTGCTGCAACAGCCTCCACAATGACACGAAAACGTGCGAATGCACGAAAACAACAAACTCAAAATGTGCGACCACAGAGAGCTTTATTTTGTTTGACGTTAAACAATCCTATGAGGAAACTATGTATTCGTGTTGTAGAATGGAGATATCCTTTAAAAAATAATGCATTCAAGGAGTAAACAAAATTCTGTTATCAGCATTTGATTAAATTGAAATGGATTTTTTGTACATAAAAATGTGGTTCGGCTGATTCTCTGTAGGTTGAATGTGGTAAGGGTGATTTTCTCTAGATACGTAAGTATGTGATAAGAGAAATATGTTTTTTTATGCATTTATTGATTGTTGTGTTTCCTGTGTTCAAAGATATACAATCTTCAAACAGTGCAAATCATTCAATTATTTGTGCAATGAAAAATTTTGTAAATGTTCTCTAAGCCAGGCAGGAAAAGTCATGGAACAAGTTTGTCTTGAAAATAATACAGTGATATTTGTTAGCAAGTTTCAAACTCCAGTTTAACAATTTTTCTTGGCTTCTAAATAGTGATTAATTTTATATTTAGTCTTAAGCTTGATAATGTTGAGTTGTAGTGTATAAGGAATTTTTACATCTGTCATGTAGCCACGTCTTGTTTTGTGATAGTTTGAAATTTTACAACATTCATTGTACAAGGAAAATGCTTCAATACACATGTTACCGCAGTTATCCCATGCAGCAATGCAGGTCCAGACCAGGTATTGGTCTTGTTTGCAGTTAATATATACATAGAGTCTGGCCCTGGCATGCCCAACCTTCACAATATTATGAAACTTGGACAGAACATTCTTCAAGATCAAGATTGAAGAAATGACTTTTTTGGGACTATTTTGCTACAATAACCCTAGTGAAAGCAATTCTTCTGAGACTCTTTGTCACTTTTATCTGAGTATTTGTTTGGGAAATATGGGACTTTGACCTTTTTTGGATTGTTGAACTAACTTATTTTGATGCAGACATGCCCTCTGTAATGGCTGCCGTCTTATTCCTTTAGTTTTGGAAAGTAATGGATATTGAGTAGATAACATGGGAAAAAAATAATTTTATGCAATTCTATGATATTCCTCTAGTTTTGGAAAATATTAATTGGATATTGGGTAAACTTACATGGGACAAAAATATTTCCACACAATACTTAAAAAAAAAAATCAAATATATAATGAATCAAAGAAAAAGATTTAGAATTGCTAGTCTTCATCTCAATTGAGTGGCGATGACTTTTATTTTATAAGAATGAACTCGTATGGCAAAGTGTAAAATGTGCTGATTCTGTCCTGAATGGTATTATGACAATAGAGTGTGTTGTTTTCCCAATCACTGGGTTTAATATTGTATATGTATAATGAAGTTGTGCAATAATACTTTTGTTTTCCTTAATGATATTTACGCCTTTTGAGTTTTTAATTCTGCTGACCATCTTTGCCAACTGTGTTGCACTGGCTATTTACACTCCATATCCACAGGGGGACTCGAATGCAGTCAACCAAGCTTTGGTAAGTATTCTTTATAGATAATATGTAAAGTTGGCAAATAATGGATTATTGAGGTTTTTCTCAACTTATATAAATGTTGAAGGAGGTTTTTTTTCATGAAATATAGTAATAAGTTGTATTATGGGGACTTTTTTTAAGGGGACTTCAGACAATATCCAATATAAGATCTTGCTGCTGGGATGGTAGCTTCATTTGAATATAAGGTATGGTTTCTAGTAGAAAATTTGGGAACATTTCAAGACTAAAGTCTTGTAAAATATATCTCTTTTATTCTTATCACTTTAATAAATAAGGCTTCATATCTCATGGCAATTCTTTCAAAAATGAAAATATGCCAGCAGGCCACTACTAGCTCTTCCCCTTTTATATGGGGTACATGCCAGCAGGCCACTACTAGCTCTTCCCCTTTATGTGGGGTACATGCCAGCAGGCCACTACTAGCTCTTTTTTTTTATGTGGTGTACATGGCAGCAGGCCACTACTAGCTCTTCCCCTTTATGTGGGGTATATGCCAGCAGGCCACTACTAGCTCTTCCCCTTTATGTGGGGTATATGCCAGCAGGCCACTACTAGCTTTTCCCCTTTATGTGGGGTACATGCCAGCAGGCACTACTAGCTTTTCCCCTTTGTGTGGGGTATATGCCAGCAGGCCACTACTACCTCTTCCCCTTTTATGTGGGGTACATGCCAGCAGGCCACTACTAGCTTTTCCCCTTTATGTGAGGTATATGCCAGCAGGCTATTACTAGCTTTTCCACTTTATGTGGGGTATATGAGCTTGGTCGCTTCGGCAAATTGTGTCATGGTGTAAAGAGAAACATTTATTTACATGCAAACACCTTGGATAAAAGTATTGAAAATTGAATGTATTCAATATGAGCTAAAGCATATAGCGATGAACTGTTTATTTGTTAATTCTCAGTGCTTCAACTGGTAATATTTCCTATATTTGTATGGCATCAATGATAAACTCAAGCTGAATCAATCATGTTGAAATAAGCTTTACAAACATCCTCATCTAAACTCATTGATTCAGTCTAATCAAATTCTGAATAAAAAGAAATTCATCAATGCGATGGATCAAATTTAAACATATGTGTTTGTTCACTCCCTAAGTGTTGTAATCATCACCTGGTTGTTTGTTCAAACATCTTTCAGGTACAGTTTTGTCTTTGGTTTGTATACATTAGGCAGATTTGTTTTTGGAATGTTTTGGAAACTTTACAAGACTGAGCCATTTGCATTGTGATAAACACCCTTGGCATATGTTTTTTAAAAGCTTTCATTCATGCAGAAGTTAGTCGATATTATCCACTGGGCAATAACTATGTTGGTAAATTCTTACATACAAGGCAAATGCAAGTCAAGGAGGACTTTGCCAAATGTAGTTTGTGTTAGCTTTAAAATAAGGTACTTACTGGAGGAGTTATATATATTACTTTACTGTAAATAACAGCAAGCCTTGCAATGAACAATTGGTCAGACTCTTTACAATAATCTTTTTTGGTTACACTTTGGTTTTAAGACAGTTTTATCTAATTAAGGCCCCATCAATACAACAAGGTGTGCTGCAACCAAGAAAATAGGTAAAGAAGTTGTAGATCCTCTGTGATGGCTCTTATCACTATCTGACTATCCACAAGTACTCTCTGTGATGGCTCTTATCACTATCTGACTATCCACAAGTACTCTCTGTGATGGCTCCTATCACTATCTGACTATCCACAAGTACTCTCTGTGATGGCTCTTATCACTATCTGACTATCCATAAGTACTCTCTGTGATGGCTCTTATCACTATCTGACTATCCACAAGTACTCTCTGTGATGGCTCTTATTACTATCTGACTATCCACAAGTTTCTTTTACAAAATGGCAAGATACTATTTTCGTAATTTGCTTTTGTGCACACAATCTGTCCTTTTATAAATATTTGAATATATCAGGTTTACTACTTGAGTGTTTCAGTGGAATTAAGCATTGAAATGGGAACATTACCCATCAGACCATTGTTTCTAAGTCTGAACTGATATAACATTGATCATCCTTATATTTGTTTGTATTAAGAGTTTTCAGAAGTTGTTGATTAATTTTCACAGTTATGTTTTTTAGTTTTGCATTTTCACAGTTTGTACAAACTTAATACACATGTGTGCTTGTAATAATTTACAGGTTTTAGTAGGACTGTACTCATTAAGCACTACATGTGTAGGATTTTACTAGGACTGTACTCATTAAGCACATTATATATAAGGTTTTACTAGGACTGTACTCATTAAGCACTACATGTGTAAGATTTTACTAGGACTGTACTCATTAAGCACTACATGTGTAAAGTTTTACTAGTGAGACTGTACTCATTAAGTACAGCATGTATAAGGTTTATTAGGATTGTACTCATTAAAAATTAAATTTGCCCATGTGTAAAGATTTACTAAGACTGTACTCATTAAAGATTAAATTTGTCCATGTTTAAAGATTTACAAGGACTGTGCTCAATGAGTACCACATGTATAAGGTTTTACAAGGACCACATGTGTAAGGTTTTACAAGGACTGTACTCAATGAGAACCACATGTATAAGGTTTTACAAGGACCACATGTGTAAGGTTTTACAAGGACTACTCAATGAGTACCACATGTATAAGGTTTTACAAGGACCTCCTGTGTAAGGTTTTACAAGGACTGTACTCATTAAGCACATTATGTATAAGGTTTTACTAGGACTGTACTCATTAAGCACTACATGTGTAAGATTTTACTAGGACTGTACTCATTAAGCACTACATGTGTAAAGTTTTACTAGTGAGACTGTACTCATTAAGTACAGCATGTATAAGGTTTATTAGGATTGTACTCATTAAACATTAAATTTGCCCATGTGTAAAGATTTACTAAGACTGTATTCATTAAAGATTACATTTGTCCATGTTTAAAGATTTACAAGGACTGTGCTCAATGAGTACCACATGTATAAGGTTTTACAAGTACCACATGTGTAAGGTTTTACAAGGACTGTACTCAATGAGAACCACATGTATAAGGTTTTACAAGGACCACATGTGTAAGGTTTTACAAGGACTACTCAATGAGTACCACATGTATAAGGTTTTACAAGGACCTCCTGTGTAAGGTTTTACAAGGACTACCCATTTAGGACCACATGTATAAGGTTTTACTAGGACTGTACTCAATGAGTACCACATGTATAAGGTTTTACAATGACCACATGTGTAAGGTTTTACAAGGACTACTCATTGAGGACCACATGCATAAGATTTTACTTGGACTGTACTAAATGAGGACCACATGTATAAGGTTTTACTAGGACTACTCATTGATGACCACATGTATTAAGTTTTGCTACGAACAACAGCCGTAATTATTGAGCTTGACATGTGAGTTTTTTCAAGGACTGTACTCTTTGTGTACCACATTTGTGAGTTTCTTCTAGGACTGTACTCTTTGTGTACCACATTTGTGAGTTTCTTCTAGGACTGTACTCTTTGTGTACCACATTTGTGAGTTTCTTCTAGGACTGTACTCTTTGTGTACCACATTTGTGAGTTTCTTCTAGGACTGTACTCTTTGTGTACCACATTTGTGAGTTTTTTCTGTGTATCGTATGTCTGAGGTTTTGCAAGGAAAACTGTCAGAATATTTGTGTTTCGTTCTTCAGGTTTAATATATTTCTGACATAAGTTAACTTATTCTTTAAATTTTCACAGTATAGCCAGTATAGATATGAACTGTAGTTGTCCCTCAGTAATCTTTAAATGTCATCATACATGTGTTTCTGAAATTTATAACATAAATGTCAAATTTAATTATCATTTGTCCAAACATAAGTAAGAATTTTTTACTAATGGGTAAACCACTATGGAAAATAAACATTGCAGTCTCAGTTATATTCCAAGGTTTTGTATCTGTATATATTTATTTAAAAAAAATATGTTATTTGTAGAATTATATATTTTGTTCAATGGGTCTTGGCATCACAGGACTGTCTTCAGTGGACTGCTTCATAGTCTAGATCTTTAATTGATTGATAACAGTTCAAGATTCTGTGTTTTTATTCCTACTACTTTTGTAGGGTTTCATCTGGTTTCCTATCCTGCTTTTTTGTTGACCCCCCTCTTTCATTTTCCAGGTGGTTGTGAAGTGAAACAAACAGTGATAATATAGAGAGAATTCTGCATTAAAAGTCTTAAATGATTCCTATTCTCCAGTTTAGTTTTTGACAATACCCAGTAGAGTAATGTCTTGCCTTTACCAATGGTTATTGTCAATGGTCATCTAATTAAGCCATTATTGTCAATAGTCCTATGATGACCATCCATACACAAGGGATAATTCAAGTGGTCAGTGTTTATTGATACATTAGGTTAATTATTGATTAGAAGTCATTGATCTTTTCCCATTTGATTGCCTGACGGACAGAATTAGCCATTTGATGTAATCAATCTGTATAAAAATTATAGGAGAAAATCATTGACGTAATTGTCAAAGTACATGAAGTATGGACAAGTTTCAGTTTGGAATTTTATCTGGCAGTTAGTTAAAATATCATGCTTACAAGTAGATTCCATTTTGTAAACATAGATATTAAACCATTACATTTACTGTGGTTTTATAATGTGAGATATTAAACCATTACATTTACTGTGGTTTTATATTGTGAGGGTACACAAATTCAACCTATCTTGACAGTTTTTTCACCTACATTTTATTTTAAATTTAGACAAGAGCTTCCATTCTGTGTAATTTGTATATTATATTCTTAATCACTATATAGTTCCACCAATTTAGATTTTAATCTATACTGAGTCATAGAAAAATTGGTTAGAACCGACTTTCAAATGACCCAAGATGCTGAAATGACGAGTACCTAAATTCACATCCGTATAAATTGAAGATCTGGTATTTGTTTAATTTCTCCACATTTTTAGAACAATTTGACATTATTCCATGCTTACTTTTCCTTTTTTGTCTCACCTGCAA